GGACCCTATATAGGATAGGCGGTACAAAAAATTGATGGATAGATGGAAATTCCTATATCCAAATACGTCCAAGGGATTTTGTGTGAATCTCAAATATGGATGGAATGAAACGTTTCATGATGATATCACAGGTGCCAACAGCTATGGTTTAGCTGCATAGCATTTTGTAGTATAAATAGGACTAAATGCCAGAGCAATATCTCCTTGCAGTTATTGCATGGCTTCCCTCTGAAGATAAGCAGGGCTGAGCCTGGCCAATACCTGGATGGGAGACCTCTTGGGGGGAAAAACTAAGGTTGCTGCCAGAAGTGCTCAGCCTGTGAGGCCTACATGGAGTGCTCACCCTATGGCCTGTGTGAAAGGGACACTATACTATAAATAGCACTGTCATTTGGATGAGATAAAAATCCCAGCATACAGTCAAAAAGAGTAGAGTAAAAAGAGTAGAGTATAACCCTGGTGTAAGGGTTATATTCCTGATTTTCCTGGCGAAATTCCCTTATTTGTCCTTCTCTATAACGGCCCCCTAATAATCCCCATTCCTGAATTGGCTACATCATTCTCTCCGCTCTACTAATAGTGTTTGGTGGCCGTTCTGGTGCACTATGGCTGCTATCACATCATCCAGGTGGATGTTGCACACTAATGGTAATTGAGAAGATTTCTCCCCCCCATACTATGTAAAGCACTTTGACAGTCTAGAAAAGAGATATATAAATGTAACTGTAACTAATCAAATTCACTTTACGGTTGATGGTTAATTTAACACCACCATTAACTAGATCAACTTGATGTGTAAATTTACAATCTTATGAGCCAATAGAAAACAAGAAAGTGTGACTGTGGTTGGACTCTTTAGTTTGAAAGAAATTGGAGGTGGGGCTTATTGTTGAGTAGCAATCACAACTATATTTTACATTGGCAGACATCTGGGAAGAAAATAATATGAACAGTGTTAATAGAAAGGGAATGGAAAATGGTCATGTTAGTTTTATGAGGAGGAACATTTTGGCCATGGCATCACTCCAGAGTGCAACCACTATAAACCATCAGAACCACTTTCATTCTACAGCTCGTTTATGCTCTCTTTCTTTGCAGAAAAGAAATTTAGCTGTGGTAGATTCACATCCCAGGCAGACAGCGGGCAGTTGTAGATGGTCCCCCATACCCATGGGAGCATCCAGATGCCAGTTCCTGCCACAGGGGCCACAAGGAAGTGGAATGTGTCCACACACCCAAGTCACCGCTCACCTCAGTCATCTGGGCGTTAATGAATACCGACTCAACAGACTTCCTCGAGGGATTTCAAAAAAGGAGAAACAGAACACACAGTGAACACCGAACTCCATTTCCCAGAAGGTCTGGAGGTTCAGTTGGAAAACAACAACGAGCTTGACAACACCACAAATCATGGCTGACAGCGAGTTACCCAGGTGGGTTTTAATTGTGATCGCATGCTAGTTCGAAATCTCTGTGGTGAACCGGAATGACTTTGGGGTTACTGAAAATATCAGAAGAGTATTCGGTCTGTGCGCTGAAGTTAAATGTCATGGCTTCCTGAATGGTTCTCTGCATGCCCCAGACATTCTGAAGTAAGCAATAAACCTACATGAATGTACTAGGTTTCTCTGAAGAATACCATAACAAGTAGGTCATTTGTTTGATAAATGTAACCTCTAAAAATATTTCTTCCTTGGCATTCTCTTACTATAACAGTGACCTTTTTGCGCTTGTCTTACACTCCTAAATCTGTCATCCACATGCAACTGTCACACTAATCTTTTACCAAGCTGTGTAGGCTGAGGTAGGCTCTGAATTTTACCTTGCTCACTGTGGAATTATGGGAAAATGGGTGTTATATAAGGCGGTGTTGCAGGGTTGAGAAGTAAATTAGATGGAGGCCATGGCAGACTCTTTTAGCTAAGGCATGACAGCTTTGGGCCGACTTAATTATCAGTCCATGACGAGTCGTGGCACACAGATCTTTGGGAATTTCTGAATGGAGGTGTGAAATGTGGGTCAGTAGACATCGGATAGAGTGTGTTGAGAATCTTTAGGTCCACTCACGTTATCGGCTAGTAACAGCATTCATGTTAACACTGGGCCCGAGTCAGAACAGCTGAAGCATTCCTGGCATTGCCATCCCGATAAATCCTCAGCATTTAACAATGTCTCCAGCTCATCCAAACTCTGGGTAGGCCACATTCTTTGACTGGCACAAAAGGGGCACTATATTTGAGCAATCAGTGCCACCCACAATGGTGCGACAACAATTCACACCCGCAAAGGAGCAGTGAGTCGCCTCGCTTAGCACTCACACAGTTGTGCAATGGAATGGTAGTAATTACAGACCACAGCATGGCAAATTCCCTCCCCCTCTCTCTCTCTCTCTCTCTCTCTCTCTCTGTTATTCTCTCTTTCTGTTTCTCTCCTCATTTCTGTTGGGTTGTTTTGGGGGTTTTTTTCTCCTCCTTTTGCGTAAACTTGATTTACCTAGCTAAACACTCAGGCAGCAGTTTAGAAGCCTTCAAAAATCATGATACAACCCAAAATAATTCTGCCTACCTCCATAGATTTCCAGATTATCCAGATAATCCAGATTTCCAGAAGAAGGACATTTTCCTAACACACTTACAGTTAGGAAATAATTGGTGAACACAGAGTAATTAACCACAGCATAGCACCAGTACATCCATTCCAAATGACCCCTCTCATCACCCAGACTGGCCATTTTCAGCCATTCCCAAGGTCAGATAAATGCCGTAGCCCACCATGCAGCTGAAATCTGACAACAGGGTGCTGTAATTATCACTGTCCTTGATATTTAATGTGGAATGAGTAGAGTAACCTTTAGTGTTTCCCCGTGAGATCCCCCTCCTCCTCCCTTCGCCAGCTCTCTACAGGCAAGTCAGAAAACAAGTGGCTCACTTTGGAGCGAAATGGGAAGTGTGTTTGCGTTCCAAGTGCTGCCCTGGGATTGGCCGAAGTGTGCACACGCTTACACATACAAAATGGATGCATGTCCATGCCTCCTGGCTTGGCGAAGGCTTTGCTGAGGCACACTAGTCGATTTGAAGACAAATCTGAGATTCTGAGATTCACGTGAAAGCATCTTGCCAAACAAGTTAAACATTTATGTTCATAACTTGGTTGAAATGATTACTATTGGAAGCCATGCATTCATCCAGAGATTGCTAGGATCTGTCCTCTACCACAATGTTTATGCCAAAGAAATTCAAAGGCCCTCAGTCATAATCTGCAAGTGTGGGGGATTCGATTTAAATATTAATGTCATGCACAAAACCACTTGTAATCCTGTGAATGACAGTGTAAATACAGACACAGTAAGAGACCTGCACTGAGCTGTAATCCAGTGACCAGCGCCAAATTACCACCTGCGTCAACCCCATTCAGGAGACACTGCTCTACACAATGCCAGGAAAATGACAAAATTTGGCAAAAACACTGGTGCTGGTGTGAAATTGTTAACCGAATACAAAACACTCAATCAATCAAACAAACAAACAAACAGCAATATGATGTATTAAAGAACCTGAACAAAAATAGCAATTTTATTTTTAATGATTTATACTCATTCTGATTGCTATTTTCATTTTAATGACTAAACTCATTCTGGTTACGCATTCTCATTGTGTTATACTTATTATGATTACTGTCATTCTGATTCTGATTACTATACCCATTCTGATTAGTGTCCTCAGTCTGATTCTGATTACTATACCCATCCAGATTTCTATGCTGTTTCTGATTAGTACTCATTCTAATTGGTATACCTATTTTGATTACTACAGTATAATCATTATGATTATTATAATCATTCTGATTCTGATGATTCATTCTGATTAATAAACTCAATCTGGTTTTGAATACTGTACTCATTCTGATTATTATACCCATTCTGATACTGATAACTATACTCTTTATGATTGATATATAAATTCTACTTGTGATAACTATACCCATTCTAATGACTATACCCATTCTGATAACTATACACATTCTGATAACTACACACATTCTGATGACTATACTCATTCTGATGACTATACCCATTCTGATAACTACACCCATTCTGATAACTATACCCATTCTGATAACTATACCCATTCTAATGACCATCCTTATTCTGACAACTATACCCATTCTGATGACTATACTCATTCTGATAATGATTACTACTGAACCCACCCATGCTCATCAAATAAGCATATCGGGACAAGCAGAAATCCCTGGACACACTTATTGACCACTCCGTTCATCTCGACCACCTGCTGCAGAATTATCAGCCCCCAAGTTTCACATAGGAAGCATTACCTGGCATAGCCCAGTGGAAGAACATGCCATTTGGTCAAGCCAAGTAAGTTCACCATTCTCGAACAAGAAAGGAAGAGGAGTGCTGTCTTGTGTTTCTATTGTCACAGCAACCAACACTGAGTCTCTCAGTGCAGAGTGCATCCTGCCCAAAGACAGCCACTACCCACGAAGAAGCGGGCTACAACCACAGCCAAAATGTGTCTCCTCAAACTTTCTCGCATCCTTTTCAGCTTGTCCTTTTCAGTTCAAACTGCTCAGCTCAGTGTCTCAAATCATGTCTCCAAACCCCTGCTGTGTTAACCACCTCTTCTTACATCAAAAGTCCAGAGTCAACCCATCCCTGACCTCTTGACCTTGATCTCTGCTTCACGCTTTGGATTTGTTTGTTTGTTGACAGTTTTATTTAAATAAAAGCATTCTTGCATCAAAAGTCCAGAGTCAACCCATGCCTGCCCTGTTGACCTTGATCTCTGCTTAACGCTTTTGATTTGTTTGTTTGTTGGAAGTCTTTTTTTTAAATAAAAACATTCCCTGCAATTGTTGCCATCTCTGTCGCCTGACAGTATACTTTGCCATCAGCATGGAGGCAGAGGGAATGTGTGAGTGGCAACATGCAATAGACAGATAGAAATATTTTATTTACTCTGCAATTGTTAAAAATATTCTAGCAGAGGAGGGATTCGAGCCTTTGCCCTCTAGGTTATGGGCCCAGCACACTTCCATTGCGCCACTCTGCTAACCACCCACCCTTCCTCCCAACCTTCTTACTCTGTTCACTATACTCAATCACACAAGCCTATAGCCATGGAGCCTCCATGCTAATCTAGCTAGCTAATTTATCTGATGTTGGTGACGAAAAAATGAAGGACTGTTATGTTGCACGTTGACAGATCACTGAGAGTAGCGCAATGCAAATTTAGACTCTGATATTTGAAATGTGTCTGATGGCAACATTTACGAGCTTGTTTACAAGCAGTTGACTAGCCTGCTAGTTGTTATTGTTGGCAGAAGCACACAGAGTTTTTTTTTTTTGAATTTGTTATGCAACAATCATAATTACTCTCAATGCAATGCTTTTTAGTGTATGAGAAATAAAATTATGAATCATTTACTGCACCTAAAATGATGTGAAATGCTGATAGATAGATTTGCTAGCAAATTGGTCCAACATAAAATCACAGGAGAAATTGTTCATGAACATTCATGCATTCAGTTGTTGGTTTTTATTTATTTATTTATTTATCCATCCATCCATCCATCCATCTTCTACCGCTTACTCCTTTTCATGGTCACGGGGAACCTGGAGCCTATCCCAGGGAGCATCGGGCACAAGGCGGGGTACGCCTTGGACAGGGTGCCAGTCCTTATTTATTTATTTATTTATTTGTTTGTTTGTTTGTTTGTTTCGAAAGAAGGGAGTAGAGTCTGCTCTTTCCTGTAAAATTAGAGCCAAAACATGCTAGTCCTAGTTTTCCCTATTCACAGAAAAATGCATCCTCGCTTATAACAAAATAATGCCAGGAACACACTGACGAGCTGTCAGTGTTTCATTAAAAGCGTTTATTCTACTGAGAAGTATGGTTTAATTTTCACACATTTGCTTTCCAGTGACTGGAAATGTAAAACTTATTTAGCTCCCAATCGAGTTATAAACAAAGTGCACATGAAGAAAAATGTTAGAAGTGTACTGTGAGAGTTGTGTTCAGAATGGAACAATTCAGACATTGTAACAGACATATAATGCGAGAAAAATTATTATGGTTGTTTGGTTGTTCTGACTGCTGATTGCTTTTTTTTCTGACTCCCTTCATTTCTCACCTTCTGGTGTTTACAGAGGACATATGATTAAACAGCACTGAATGATAATTGAAGAGGGGGACAAATTATTGCAATTTTTTCCCCACCAAAACCTGATTGCTACGTGCACGTTGTGAGAAAAGAACAGCAGCGAATTAACGACCCGAATAACAAGAACAACCAGCTGAAACGTGAGCAAAGGTAATACTTTTAATGCTTTATAATGTTTCTTAAGAAGCTTGAATTCCTTAATCGGTTTATTACTTAATGAACTGAATCGTTTTTAATTGACAGAAATGCTTTTGAATTTAATAAAAAAAAATAATAATAAAGCAATGAATCAAAGTGATTTGATCAGTCCAAACATTCACACTCCGAGTAATAATCTTGGCATTATGAATGAGGTTAAAGGTGTAGAAATGTTCCTATGCCATTTTTAGTATTTTGTTAAACAATATATTATTTAAAAAGGTGCTTTTATATTACCTTGGCAAGGAAACGTAAGGCAAACTGACTCAATGAATGAGCTATCTACAGTGTGTTCAGGCGTAAGTTAAGCCTCTGCCACAACATGCCAAGGGTTTGTAGCACTACTGAGCTGCTATCTAGAACAAACAGCTATGAATAAGTTCCTGAATGAGAAGAATGAGCTTTAGATAGATCACCTATGACAGATTTGTCTTCTCGCTCAGCATACCGTAGCCGAGGTGTTTACACTGGAGTGTTTTCTCTATGCCTTACAATGACATGGAAACGTGAGCGAAAGAGACATTGAGATGGTGAGACAGATTAAGAGAGAGATTGACTGAGGTCTCTGCATTTTTCTCATGCCTGGGAGACCTTGTTGTCATTCTTGACTGTAAACACACAAGCCGACACTTAACAAAGCCAAATAGGCATGTCTTATCTTTCTAGCACACACGCACACACACACACACACGCATTGTGTCAGCTAGGTAGCCTTAACACCAGGAGTGTGTCATGGAGGGGCCTCGGCTAGTAGGAGGGCTGTGCGTCACAGATCCACTGTATAATCGCAGCCAGGTATGTGTCAGTGTGCAGAGTGTGTGTCTGAGCATGTCTGGGGACAGGTATGCCCTGCTAACACACAGAGAAATTTACTCACACAACATACAGGACCAGAGTGAGGGTAGAGGGTGTGTCCAAGATTAGAGGTTAAATCCCAGAACGAGTAATCCAAAGAAAACACAATTCACACTGCTCTCGAAATGCAGTTGATCAGCCAAAACCTGTTTGGTGTCTGAACAAGTAATGGAACCCTGTCTCACCGTTATAGGTACCTGTTTTAAGTGCCTTCATTTCAAGACACTGTCATACAACCAAATTCTATTTGTTATTTAAAAAATTCATACAGTTCATTGCATTGCATCAATGGACGGGTGTGAGTTAAAGTCCCAGAGACCCAGTGCTATACTGTTGATCGATACCTGGAACTCTCAATTTGCATGGATTGTGTCAGTTTGGATGAATGCAACCACCAAATGAATCAATCTAACACTCAAAAATATTTGTAAAGAAACCAATTATACATTTATCAGCTGATTGGGCAAACAAAAGGCTCAAGTGTTCTGTTCCGCCCAGTCTCCTATTTTGATTAGCTAGAAACCTAATTATGTGTATATATATATATATATATATATATATATATATATATATATATATATATATATATATATATATATATATATATATATATATTTATATATATATATTTATATATATAATCCATTCTTATTTACATTTTTAATTAATTACAAAGTGACTGGAAGCAGTTGATTATTGTTAAATATCATACATAATGTAATGTAAAATGTTATTTTATTTTATGGGGAGCACGGTGGCTTAGTGGTTAGCACGTTTGCCTTGATTCGGGGATCGAATCCTGCCTATGTGCGGAGTTTGTTCATCATTGCGTGTTCTCACCATGCATCGGGGGTTTGCTCCGAGTACTCAGATTTCCCCCCAGTCCGAAGACAAGGTGATTTGGCATTTTCAAATTGCCTATAGTGTGTGTGATTGTACCCTGCGGTGGGTTGGTACCCTGTTGAGGTGTCCCCGAGTTCCCTGGCTATGGCTCCAAGCTTCCTCTTGATGATGCTAAGACACTAATGACCCCGGGCATTAAAACTTATCCTACCTTTAACCGGATGTGTGTAGTGCAGCAGGTGGTGGAAATCTCATATCCACCAAGTATAATCTTTTTAAAAGGTCAGTACTAAAAATAAACCAAAATAACTCAGACATAACATCTTGAATATATTTACTCTACTATTCATACTACTCTTTTTTCAGCAGTTATTTGAATAATTTTTTATAAGAAGGATTTTCTGAGACTCCTCAAATGTCTGGACATAACGTGTCAAAAATGTTTCAAATGGAAAATTCATAGATCTCCTATCTCCTATCATTTTTTTTTCCGAGTTCTGCCACGATTCATGTGCACTATTGTAAAGTCTGTTGCAAGTAAAGCTGAATGTCCTCTCAGGGACATCGATACAGATCAGCTATATTGTTCCTGCGCTACATTATGTTCATCTTCGGCTATTGTTCGTGAACATCTGAGTGCCCGAATGGGGCTTTCGTCTTGTCAGTGATAAACTTTTAACCTCCACATTTTTTCCCTCAAAGCTGAAGAAGTTTCACCGCTTCATGTCTGAACACCATGTTCAAAGATGTCGTCTGTCGTTGTCTTGCCAGCTGCGCTGTGCCTAACTGCAGTGTTTACTCTCAGGAGACGGTTCCACATCCAGGGAATAGAGTCCAATTAAAATGACAAATTTGAGAAAATGAGTTGTGGTCAAATGGTGATATCTAAATTGGACTCCAAAGGAGACTTTTATTTTTGTTCTTTTCTTTTCAGAGTAATCATATTTTATATTCATGCCAGACTTCACAGACTTTTGTTCGCAGCAGTATTGCCATCTTTTCATGATGATGAGCTCGGAGTTATTCTAGTTTGCATGTTTGGAGAATGATTTGTTATTCATGGCATTTGAGATCTCGAATACCGGAGCTGCCATTGCTTCTTCACATGCCTCCAACTCTGCACTGAAAATACAGGACTATATTCGGGAATAGTGTGATTTGTGAGTATCAAGTGCAGATTGAGTCCTGAGAGAGACACACAGAGAGAGAGACAGAGAGAGAGAGAGAGAGAGAGAGAGATAGACCTGTGCTGTTTTGTACGTGATCTTCGTTATCGTCTCATCGGTGATTCTCGCTGCAGGCACCCACTGCACGTGTTCATAAGCTCGGATCATATCCGTGCTTTGATGGGAGATCATTAGCGCAGGGTCATGACTGATGTTCTAGCAGTCTCCTTGCTCTTTCTCTCGGTCTTATCTGCTCCACTGATACACTTTTTTCTTCATGCTTCTTCTGCTTCTTTTTTTTTAACACCGTGATAAAACATCAGCAAGTGACAGGAAGAGAGGAGTGATGAGGTGATTGCCAGTTGCCACTTCATTCAACTGAATTTTAATTTCCAGCATCATCTAGCGCTTGAAAAAATGAAAAAAAAAAAAAGCATGTTTCGCAAACGAGTTCAGTCCAGAAAGCGCAGAAATGGATTTAGAGACGAGAGATGCTCCGGCAGATATTTTAGAACAAATCACCTGGACAGAGAGCTGCCAGCTCTTTAACGGAAATCCATATTCATCTCGGTCCTTATTCCTCCCAAGAGCCGAAGATCTCAGATCTCAGGCCTCAATATCATCTGATCCTCTCCCTCTTTCTCGCTCAATTCTCAAATCTCTGCTTTCTCATCTCATTTAGCATGCTCCCTATTTCCACATTATATTGCATTGCCATGGGGACTCCATGAACCATAAAGCATATGAACTGATTAATCACACAGGCACAGAATATCGGTCGGAATATATGTAGATCAGCCTGGTGTGTATGATTTTAATATGTACTG